GTAAGTATATGTCAAGGTTCTGATGTTGGAGTTTTATTTTGAACCCATTGAAATATTCTCAAATATTGAAATCTTAATTGAAGTCTTTTTTTAGAAAAATAATCTAGATTAAAGAATAATCTTTCATAAGGAAGAAAAAAAAAAGATAGGTTAAAAAAGGTCGTTTTTTGATAGCCGGTTTGGTTGGGCTCATCGACCCCAATGGCTAAGCTAGATCCATATTACTTCAAAAAATTAATCTGTTTATGATTTTAATTTGTCGTTTAATAATTATAATTGAATGTATTTAATTATGAAGAAATTTCATGAAGTATAATTATTTCATTTTATTTTGATACATAGAGTGTTTGAATCATATTATAAAGTCTTTAGTATATTAATTATTTATACATGAAGAATCTGAAATTAAATCTCATAAATCTAGAACTGTGGAGGAAGCTTACACTAATAACTAGTTTTTTTTTTGTCTATGCAAGCTTTCACATTGATAACTTTATGCCATGCGACGCCTAAGTGACATGATGATATGACAGTCATGACACCGTGCTCTTAAACTGGAAAAAATAAAAGAAAAAAAGAACAAGAATAAAGGATTGAAGAAGGTATGAGACCATAAAATGCTTTGATAGGTGGAATCTATAGAGTCTATTTGTCAAATTATCGGTGTTTGGATTTGTGAAAGTGGTGATCAAGGATAAGAGGTTCAACTAATATGCCGAAGAACTACAGAACTCCATTGAAGGAGTATGAGAGAAAATGACAGAGAAACTGATTTTCTTGAATTGAATGAATAGAACTAACTATTACAACTGAGTACATTCTATTTATATAGATCTAACTAACCCTGACTTGCTCTAACAGTATAACAAACTAACTGACTAATGATGATGTGAACATATCAACTAATTAGTTAATTAACTAACTCAAGTTGGAGGTGAGACCAGCACAACCAACTTGTCCAAAACTACTGAATGTTTGACTCCTGTAAGAGCCTTAGTAAGGATGTCAGCCAGTTGGTCATGAGTTCCAATATGATGCAGTGATATAAGACCTTCTTGTAGCTTGGTTCGCACAAAATGACAATCGATCTCAATGTGTTTGGTCCTTTCGTGGAATACAGGATTTCTGGCAATCTGTAGAGCTGATTGACTATCACAAAAGATAGGAAAAGGTCTGCTTCTAGGAATAGTAAGCTCTCCAAATAATCTGTCTAACCAAACCAACTCTCCAACCACCTTTCGAAGGGATCTATATTCAGCCTCAGCTGAGGAAAGAGATATAGTTTCCTGTTTCTTAGATTTCCAGCTTATAGGACTGGAACCAAGCAGCACAATATACCCTGTGATGGACTTTTTGGAATCAGGACAAGCACCCCAATCTGAGTCACAAAAAGCCTGTACATTGTAATCATCAGTAGATGTCATAAGCAATCCTAAGGTGGGATCCTTCTTGAGATACCTCAACATGTGGTACGCTGCTTTCATATGTGGTTCTCTGGGGTCTTGCATGAACTGACTAAGGTGCTGAACTCCATAAGCAATATCTAGTCTGGTATTAATTAAGAAATTAAGTTTCCCAACTAATTTTCTGTATGCACTAGGATCAGAAATAGGCTTCCCCTCATTTGCCTTGAGCTTGACTGTCACATCTAGTGGTGAGGTGAGGCTGGAAAGTTCAGAACAATGGTACTCTTTGAGAAGATCAAGCACAAATTTCCTTTGTGAAATGAGCAATCCAGCTTCAGTGTAAAGGATTTCCAACCCCAAGAAATAATGCAGTTTCCCCAAATCTTTAATTCTGAATTGATTATGGAGAAAGCCTTTGAGACTATCAATTTCTTCAAGATCAGTACCTGTCAATAGGATATCATCCACATACACAGCTATGAAGACAGTAGATGAACCATTTTTCCTATAAAATAGAGAATAGTCATTTAAGGAATGAGTGTATCCTCTGGAACTGAGAGCTTCAGACAACTTAGCATACCATTGCCTACTAGCCTGTTTTAGACCATACAATGACTTATTGAGCTTACAAACGTAACTAATCCTTTAGTCTGAATATCCAAGCCTGGTGGAATATCCATGTAAACCTCTTCATCTAACTCCCCATGGAGAAATGCATTATTCACATCCAATTGATAAACATTCCAGTGTTTCTTTACAGCAGTGGCAATTAGAGCTCTCACAGTCGTCATCTTAATAACAGGTGAAAAAGTCTCTGTGTAGTCCACTCCATAATGCTGAGTATAACCCTTAACAACCAACCTAGCTTTGTACCTTTCTATGCTACCATCAGCTCTGTGTTTGATCTTATATACCCATCTACACCCAATAGCTTTCTTTCCAAGGGGTAGAGGCATGAGAACCCAAGTATCATTATCGTGTAAGGCAGAAAGTTCTTGTGCCATAGCTGTCTGCCATGCAGGATCCATAGCTGCTATATCATATGAAGATGGCTCACTTTCATGTGAGATACTCAACACAAGAGACTGGCTATCAGGATACAGAAGCTTTGAGGCAATATGATGGTGATTAGAAAATGATGCATGTAGTGAATGAGGTGGTAATGTAGTTGTAGAATGAGGTATATTGCATAGGTAATCATTTAGATAGGCTGGTGTTTTGTGTATTCTAGCAGACTTTCTAACAGATGGAATGTGGTCTGGTGAGGGAGAAGGAGGAACAAGTGGTGGTGGTAACTCAGTTGGAACTGTAATGTCCATATGATCAGGATCACATTGCATATTATCATTATCAGATTCAGGATTACACTGAATGTTATCAGAAAGAACAATTGTAGGAGTAAGATAATCAAAACCAGGAACATGACCATCTAATGATTGAGTCATAGAGAAAGGGAAGATTGTCTCATGAAAGGTAACATCCCTAGACACAGAAATCTTGTTAGAAGCCAGATTTAGTACTCTATAACCTTTTGTCCCAAATGGATAACCTACAAACACATGTGGGGTTGCTCTTGGATCAAATTTGGTTCTATGGGATTTGGGAATGGTAGGATAGCATAGGCACCCAAAACTTCTCATTTGAGAATATTGAGGCTCTTGGTTATACAGTAAAGAAAATGGGCATTTGTTCTGAAGAACAGTAGAGGGAAGTCTATTAATGATGAAGGTTGATGTGAGTATACACTCTCCCCAATACTTAATGGGTAGTTTGGATTGAAAAAGGAGTGCCCTAGCAGTTTCTAGGAGATATTTGTGTTTTCTTTCTACTACACCATTTTGTTGTGGTGTGTAGGGGCATGACTTTTGCTGAATGATTCCTTTTGATTGAAAGAAGAGGGTGGATTCTTGGTTTACAAATTCTAGTCCATTATCTGTTCTTATGGTTTTTATGGTGGTTTTGAATTGAGTCTCAACCATATTAACAAATGATTTGATAATGTGCAGTGCATTACTCTTGCAGCTTAACAAGTGAGTCCAAGTGGATCTGCTAAAGTCGTCAACTAAGGTGATAAAATATCTAAAATTATCATGGGTTGCCACATGATATGGTCCCCATAAGTACACATGGAGCAGCTCAAAAATCTTGGTAGTTTTATCATTCCTGGTAGGAAATGGCAATCTATTTTGCCTTGCCATTGGACATATGGTACAGGTAACGGGTTGCTTAGGGGAGAACTTCACAGGAATTGAGGGTATACTCTTCATTTTTACAAAAGGAACATGTCCAAGTCTGTGGTGCCACAAGAGGTCTGTATTGGTATTAACTTCACGAGACAAACTAGAAGAATGAGATAGACTAGGTATTGGAACAAAATTATTTTCATTATGAGTAATATTCATTACAGATGGAACAATATGACATGAAGAAGAAGAAACAGTAGACAAAGGGCACTTATGGCCTTTAGCAGTACTATGCAAACTAGCACATTGACTTGAGGTTTTCAAAGAAGTGTTGGAGCAGCCTTTTTTCAGACATGTTGAGCAAAGCAGATAAAGTCCATCTTGTACTCTACCAATTTCCAGAGGCCTCTTCATTGAAGGGCCCTGCCGTATACAAGAGGAATTAGAGAAAGAAACAAGACATTTAAGATGAAGTGTTAAAGACTTGATGGAAATCAAGTTATATTTGAAAGATGGAATGAAAAGGACTTTATGCAATGTAATCTTTGATGTAAGGTTTACATTTCCAACTTCAGTTACCTTCACCTTGTATCCATTGGGCAAGCTAACTAACAAAGGATATGGTAAGAGAATGATATCAGAAAGATGGGTCTTATTGTAGGTCATGTGATGTGTGGCCCCTGAGTCTAGTATCCATAAGTCAGTCTTTGATTTGAAACACCCACATGAAAGTTTGTCAAAATCAACAGATGAGTTACAAGCTAATCATACCTGCAAAATTTGCAGCACCACTTAGAAGCTGATCTTCAACAGCATCTCCTGCAGATCCCAACTGGAAATGTTGCAGCAAATTGAGGATTTGTCCATACTGATCCTTGGTAAGATTGGGACCAGAATTGGAGGATTCAGCTGTGTTTCCTGTGTTAGATTCAGTATCTATACCAAAAGCATTTGTTGCTATCCCTTTTCCCTTAGCAGATTTGTGAAACTGATTATTGTATTGTGGCCTTTGATTATTATTGTACCTGTCTTGGTTGTTATATCCATTGTTACCTTGTCCATTCCCAGTGGTACTAGCCTGAGGATAACCATGCAGTTTGTAGCACCTCTCTTTAGTATGACCTGGTTTCTTACAATGATCGCAGAACGATCTTGGTTTGCCAGTGTAGTTATTGGTGGGAGAGAAATTAGTCCTGAACAGCTGTTGTCTTCCACTTGAAGATCCTGATGAGTTAGCATGCATAGATGAATTCACTGATGCCTCTGCAAACATTTGGTTACTTGGCTTGAATTCCCTTTGTTTTTCTTCCTGAACTAACAAAGCAAAAGCCTGGGCCATAGATGGCAAGGGATTCATCATTAACATACTACCTCTGATTACAGTATACACCTCATTCAATCCCATAAGGAATTAAATGAGTCTCCTATCCTGCTCTGCCTTATGTATGTTCTCTTTTCCCCCACAGATACACACACAACTACATTGATCTTTAGCACTCAGATTGTTCAATTCTTCCCACAGCTTCTTCATCCTAGTATAATACACAGTCACGTCAAGTACACCTTGACTCAAATCATTGATTTCCTTTTGGATCTGAAACAACTTAGCCCCATTTGTTTGATCATATCTTTCTTCCAACTCCTTCCACAATTCGAGAGCATCAGAAACATACTCTACACTATCAACAATTTCTTTTCCAAGAGACTTAAGAATCCAAGATGTGACCATATTATCACATCTTTCCCACTGTCGATATTGAGGAGAATTGAGTGCAGGTTTCTTACACTCACCATTAATGAATCCTAACTTGTTCTTTACAGAGAGGGATCTCATTACACTTCTCCTCCAAGATCTATAACCGATTCCATCAAATACAACCTGAACAAGAGGCAGGCTGGGACCATCAGATGGATGAATGTAAAGAGGATTACTTACATCGATAACATTGCTTCCTGTAGAACTAGTATTGGGATCTGTAACTTCCACCATAGCTGCAAGATCTGATGAACTTTTAAACAACTGCAACGGAGAGACAAATTGACACTATCGGAAAACAGAGACGACGAATCCAGTAAGAGCAACAAGGCTCTGATACCATGTGAAAGAGGTGATCAAGGATAAGAGGTTCAACTAATATGCCGAAGAACTACAGAACTCCATTGAAGGAGTATGAGAGAAAATGACAGAGAAACTGATTTTCTTGAATTGAATGAATAGAACTAACTATTACAACTGAGTACATTCTATTTATATAGATCTAACTAACCCTGACTTGCTCTAACAGTATAACAAACTAACTGACTAATGATGATGTGAACATATCAACTAATTAGTTAATTAACTAACTCAATAGGATTGACTCGTTTTAAATGAAAACGCTCAACTTTTAGCTTTTGACTTTTTACACTTTTCAGATCATTTAAAAAAATACTAAAAATAAGTCAATTCAAACACTAGCAAAGACTTTGCTTTGAAAAGAAAATGTTATAATTATGATCTTTTTTTTATATTTGGGATCATATTTGAGGCAAATAATTGTGGTCACTTAGCTGTTCTCGTATTTCAATTCATTTCTCAACTAATAATAAACATGTATAATATAATAAAATTATCATTTTATATATTACTTTTTTAAAAATGTATCAAGTCAATACTGAAAAAGAAGGTAATACAATTTTTACACGTCATTTAAGAAATGAGAATAATTTATAGATATATTTGTAGTGTATAGATAAATATAATTTCTTACTCCTCCAATAACTTATCATAGTTTCTAGAATACATTGTGCATTTGATTTGTATAGATTTACTACACATGTAAGCAAAAATAGAGCAACTTGAGTAGTTAATTAATCTAGTTCGTACAGATTGATTCTTGTTTTCTTATTCGAAGAAAGTATAACTACAAAGTAAAAAAGATGACATTCTTAAAATGCATTTTTTAAGAATGTACTGATAAAAGGACGTCTGTGACAATTTACTAATACTAAGGAGGTATTTATAGGAGGAAAAAAAATAACATTGTCGGAAACTATAACGAAAAAGGAGAGGGTAGCCTCTAAATTATAAAAAAGAGAGGTATTTTAGAATGATTTAATGAAATTGGTGACTTAAAGTCTACCCTTAAGTAAATGTCTAAAGTATATTGAGTAAAATAAGTATTTGTATGTGTTGCATGTGCATCTCGTGTGTCACATGTGCATCATACGTGTATTTTGTGCGTCTCACGTGCATCACATGTATATTTTGTGTTTCTCATATGCATCTCGTGTCAATTAGCACGTGTATTTACTAAAAACCAAACGACTCTCATATCAATTACTGTATAATGAATGAATGTTACTAGTTGGGTTCTACTTTACACTTTAGGCATCCATGACTTATCACGCATTTGTCCTTCTAATCCTCTATATGTTTGTCTGTAATGACAAGGGGATGCCTGACTGCTCTCTAATAAAACTCCACGGATCCTGTTTTGAGCCTAATACTGTTATTAACCATGCATTTATGGTTATGAACCTGTATTATAAGGCAAACCCACAAACTGTATCCTGTTGGTTCAAAAGCAGTGGTTTCATCGCGATCACTGATTCAAGTAATTCTTTTTTTTTTCTTTTTTTTTTTTTAATTAATCTATTTGTTATTATTACTAATCTTTTTCCTTTTCATGTTTTGGGTTTGCATGCGGGCTATGAAAATTGCAAATTTTGAGCATGGTGAATGAGTGCAAGTCGTATGAACGAACCTAGGGCCCCACTTCACATGCCTGCTTGCGCAGTCCCAGGAAAATGCAAATATCTCTCTATTCTGAAGTCGTATGAACGAACAATTTGATGCGTTGGAAACTAGACTCGTAGACCTTCGATTCGATAGGTCGTGAACCCCATAAGTCTTTATAGATTGGGAGAAAACCTCCAATACATTTGACCTAAATTTCAGAGAAATCTTTAAGAAGGAACTTACGATAACTTCCGTCAACTTTTATTTTGCCACTTCCCTAACTTCAAAACTTGAGATGCAACACTTGAACACTTAAAATAGGACATACCACATAATTCTTAATTTATTACCCATCCTCCTTGTCTTTCCATGGAGATATGAGTAATTTTAGACGTTTCAAAAAGTCGGAGTGTTACAATTTGAATCATGTCACGTAAATTGACACGAATGAAGTATAATATCACTAAACATTACATCGTATGGGATGTGGATCCAGGCAAGTCCTAACATCATCATTATGCCTTTTTAGGCATTGAATAAAGGGCTCAACTTTCATTATATTTACCGATATGCATTATTGGGGTTATTGAAAAAAGGTGGGCAAATGAGCCTTTAAAAAAGTACTGGAATCAAATTACATTATCAACAAAAAGGCAGAATGGGAATTTAAAGGAAAAATCATGAGGTACCAACTTACGAAGCAAATTGTACCAACAATCAAAGCAAACCACAAACAAAATTAGACTTTAAATTATCAAATTACCCCTGTCTAAGAAGCAGACATGTTGACGAACGACTGCTTCCTAGACTCTTCTATATATTAGTAATAAAGTAAATTAGTAATTAGTCAATCAAATTTCTTACATCATTTAAAAATATTTTCAATCTTTTACGTAATTTTTAATAATATATATTATTACACTTGTTCAAATATATGTGACAATAATAAAATTTTAAGAGTTAATTAATTTTTAAAAAAGTTTAATATTTTTAAAAAAGTTACACCTCTAATATATTTTATAGCTAAAATATAGATGAAGTAATTAAATTTCAAAAAGTTAATTGCCACAAAAGAAACGGAGCGAAAAAAATTAAAGGAGAAGTTATGAGGAACAAATAAAAGAAGGTAATGGAAATAGTTGAGTGGGGTCCATATATTAAAAGACAGTTGGATAGTGAAATGAAAATTGAAAAGAATGTGAAATAGGCAGAAACAAGGGCCCACATTTTCCGGCTGAGATAAAGCAAAAAGGGAAATATGGGTGGGCTTTATAATTTAAGAAAATAAAGAACACTTTTGAATTTTGTGATTTTAAATTAAAGTTATGTAAAATGTATAAATTTGTTCCTTAAACAGATTAAAAATAATAAAAAATTATTCTTTTTGAAACGAAAGAAATATTATTTTTACATAACGTTTTATAAATGACTATATTATTCCTGGCTAGGAAAGCAGGCGTGTTGACGAACAACTGCTTCCCTAGCCTCTTATTGTAAATATAAATATATATATATAACTTATTTTCCCCTAAATCTTGACGAAACAATCTAGATCAACAGAACGAATGAACACATAGGTTTAAAGATAGTGTGTTAGTTGTTATTATAGTAATAAACATCTTTATGGAATATATACTCAAAAGTATTTGATAATCCTGCAAATGAAATTATATTTAATTAGGGCAAACTCATTTAATACTTAGTTTATCTTCCAATCGCTTACAAACATTGCATTTAATTCACGACTTTTTTTCAGCCATAGTTTTCGGCGGTGTTGTTTTCTTTTCTAGTATAAATACCTCTTTGCGGTAGTAGTAAATTTCCACAACCCAGATGTCCTTCCATCCTTAAAAAAATAAATAAAAAATACATGGCTTATTATCATTACGTTATTGTGATCCTCCATCTTCTCGTTTCCGGAGGTACATGTGGACTATCCTCTGTAAAGGAATTAAATAAATGCATCAGTGTACATTAGTGAAGTTAGTTACAAGCTGTTACATTATACATTGCAATGTTAGCAGTGTGAGCAGAATAGTTTGTTAGAAAAGTTAGTTATACACTATAGCAATCAGTTAGGTAGTAGCTATGCAAGTCGGTTACAATAAGATTGTATATATATCCCTGTATTACATTTTGTGAATAATCAATAGACATAATTCTTTTCATTCCTGTCACGACCCGGGAGCACCCCCTAGTCGTAACCGGCGTACTCGACCTCGAAGAGGTCTAATACAAGCCACTTAGCATTCATTCATCGCATAGACACTAAAACCATAAGGAATTTAAAACTTTTCTCCACCTATCTATCATCTACAGAACAGCCAGCTGATATCCTCACCAAAGCACTTGGGAGAACTCCACATGTGCATCTTATGTCCAAGCTAGGGATGAAAAATGTCTTCATAGTTCCTAGCTTGAAGGAGGGTGTAAAGAAATTGAATACATGCATCAGTGTACATTAGTGAAGTTAGTTACAAGCTGTTACATTATACATTGCAATGTTAGCAGTGTGAGCAGAATAGTTTGTTAGAGAAGTTAGTTATACACTATAGCAATCAGTTAGGTAGTAGCTATGCAAGTCGGTTACAATAAGATTGTATATATATCCCTGTATTACATTTTGTGAATAATCAATAGACATAATTCTTTTCATTCCTGTCACGACCCGGGAGCACCCCCTAGTCGTAACCGGCGTACTCGACCTCGAAGAGGTCTAATACAAGCCACTTAGCATTCATTCATCGCATAGACACTAAAACCATAAGGAATTTAAAACTTTCTTTACCAAGAAAACATTGCATAAAAAAAAATAGCAAGCGGAAGACTTTCTAGACTTTATACATGATGTCTCAAAACCATCTAATACTTTAGAGTACAAATTTCGGGACTAATCCCGTACACAACTTAAACAATACTAAAAAGACATAAAAGAACATATTGGGTATTGTCCTCGAATCTATGAGGACTCACCAAGTCTTCATCTTCAACACTTAGAAACCTATCAAATAGCCATGACATGTCATCATCTCCAAATCCCTACACTTTAGT